TATATATATATATATATATATATATATATGTGTGTGTGTGTGTATGTGTGTGTGTGTGTGTATATACACACACATATATACTAGTGCTGTCAATCGATTAAAAAAAAACAACTAAATAATCACATTTTCTGTGTGACCTAACATTAAAGTTTTTAAATATACTTTTATATTGCAATAATCTTCAAATTAACATACAAACAACATAAAGACAGTATATTTTTAATATTTGTTTAATGGTATCTTTTTTTATGACTGAAGGCCAGTATCAATACTACTGAAGTCTCTATAAAATTGTTTTTTACCCCTAATATTTAACCATTGACTATAGCCATTCAGCATTACAGTATAATTCAGAGCTATCAATTTTATCATTTATTAAAACAATCTTCACATAAACCCATTATAATAAATGTCATATTTACCTGTGCCCAGCAGAAATATACAGAAATTGAATTTGAAGTTATCAAACACTAAATTCTAAATTAAATATAGATGATTCCTTAAAGCTGTAAAAGATCTTTATTTCCTCTTTTTTCTTTGTCCTTTGATTAACAGTCATCACAGCAGCTGGTTATTTTGGCTGCTATTACTTTAAGAGCTGCTGCTGAACATGACGCAGATCTGACACGCATTGTATTTTCTCTCAACTCTCTTTACCTTTTCTGACCCAGTTCAGATCTTAAAGTCTCTATTAATGAGCTGACGAGTTAAATCGGGTGTGTTAGATGAGTGAGACAGTGCTGGGCTCCAGGACGGTTTTGAAAACCATTTCAGAGACATGTTCTTAAATGTGACTCATATAAAATATATTACATGCATGCACAGTTTTAAAGCAGCTTTAATCGCCTTTTTGGTAACTTCATGACTTAACTGACCACGACATTACATGCACGTAGTTTATTTTGCGCTTTGATATGAAAATATATACAGGCTACAGCACGCGCTAATTTTGACAGCACTAATATATACATGCATACACAGTGCTGTTCAAAAGTTTGGGATACGAAAGATTTTTCATGTTTTTAATGGAGTCTCTTATGTCCATCAAGGCTGTGTTCATTTGAACAAAGATTCAGAAAAAACAGTAATATTGTGAAATATTATTGCAATTTCTAATATTGGTTTACTATTTTAATATACTTTAAAATATAATTTATTTCTATGATGCAAAGCTGAATTTTCATCAGCCATCAGTGTCACATGATCCATCAGAAATCATTCTAATATGTTGATTTATTATCAATGTTAAAATATAATTGATTTCTGTGACACAGCGCTGAATTTTCAGCATCATTACTCTAGTCTTCAGTGTCACATGATCTTCAGAAATCATTCTAATTACCTGTTCCTGCAGACACTTAAGTGGTGTTTAGTTGACTAGGTGGCTACAGCACACTGAAAATAGACAAAACCAGAAACTAGCGAGTTGTCTTATTTGCTCTATCGCGTGTCACCAGAAGGACAGACGGCTGTGCGGCTCACAGGATGTGATGTCATCACGCGCTTCTGTGCTAATCAGCGGCGGTAAACTCACTTGTCCAGGATGGTGTACTCCGAGTCAGATTTGAAGAGAGCGACGAGTCTGGCCTCCATCATGATGTACATCTGCTGCGAGCTGTTATCTGAGAGACACAGAGGAGAGACTCTCATCAGCACATGACAGATTTAACCAAGATGAAAGACAACAAGACACAGCAGCACAAGAAATAAAACTGTATATTTACACACTTTTTTTCAATTTCATATCTAGAACACAAGCACATTATTGTATCTTACATGTGCTCAGATTTTGGTTTCATGCTAGATAAATGTGTCATTTCAACAACCTGAATGAACTTTTCACCTTCACTAAAGCTTTTCATTTATTTCGCTTGTTAATGCTGAGAAAACGACTGTAACTGTTGGTTTAGTGTTTTTGAATGAAGTCTCTTCTGCTCACCAAGACTGCATCAATCTGATCAAAAATAGAGCAAATACATTACAAATTGTGAAATATTATTACAACTTAAAACAGCTGTTTTCTATGTGAATATATGTTAAACAGTAATTTATTTCTGTGATGCGCAGCTGTATTTTCAGCATCATTACTCCAGTCTTCAGTGTCACATGATCTTCAGAAATCATGCAGATTTGCTGCTCTATTACCAATTATTTTTTGTGATCAATTATTAATAATGTTGAAATATTCTATTTTATTAAACAATGCATTTTATTTGAACTTATTAATAATAAAAATGGAAGCTCAAATCTGAACATGAATCAAAATTAAATGTCAAAACTTTCATTTTGGTTGAACTAGGCCCACACATGATGCATTATTTCTGCATTTTTGTGTTATACTGTGATGATATATTGTTAAGTTAGCTCGCTGTGGGGTAAGATGTGCCAGCTGTGTCTGTGGACAGATAACATGTAGTCTAACAGTAATACAAGTCTCTCCAGCAGCAGCAGCAGCTCAAAGCACATTAAAGTGGGACTGAAAGACCCTGAAAGAGGAGCGTTTAAGAGTATTGTGACACTCAGAGAGAGAGAGAGCATCAGTAAGAGACGGCAGGCTGAGAAAGGACTGTGCGGAGCGTCATTGGTATTCAGTGCGTCTCTCTCCTGCAGCAGACGGCCGAGCTAATGAAGGACTCACAGCGCACCCTGTCTGCCGCCGCACACGCCGCTCAAACTGGGTCAAACTGGCTTTTACTCGGGATCTTCAGAGGAGATACGTTTACAGAGCAGGCTCTTTTTTAAGTGAGCTGATTTGAGGTTTCTGCAGTGAAGGCATCCACAGATGGCCAGATACTACAGAAAAGCCAGCCTCAGGAGGTCAAGCTCACTATTGCTTTCACTTATATTATCTTATAATATATACATAATATATAATCAACACTCAAATAAAAAACAAATTGTATGCAAACATGTAAATTGCATTCTATAATAAACTAACTTTATTAATTAACTTTATTAACTTAAATGAAATGCTATGTGACATTTTGTTTGCATGCCTGATTCCAGTCTCAAAAATGGCCAAAAAAAGATTATTTTACTAACTTATTAATTTTAAGTGAAATTGTGCTTTGTTGGTATCATGTCTGCTAGAATGTTTAAAAAATGTTCAGTGTTAAGTAAATATTTTGTAAATTGTTGTTTTCTTTGAAAAGCCAGACAAAACAGTAAAAAGCTAAATTTGGGTACTTAATTTATGCAATGGTGGAAAAATACACGAGAAACCGTGTTCGGTATTCGGCCCAGTGTTTCATTTGAAGAGTTCATTTGCAAAAACCGATAACTCCATTTTTATTTTTTTTCAGAAATCACGTTTTTTATTGCGCATTCCCAGTAATATCAATCAAACTGCAGTTGGGTTGTTTTGATTAAGTAATAATAACTTAAACAAATACAGGTCATTTACTAAATTAAAGTTCATTGAACATATGTTTTTTTTTTTTTTTTACATATTAAAAGTTAGTTTTTTGGCAAAAGCAGATAACTCCACATTTCATGTTTTAGAGTTTAAAAAAACACTTGTGTGATCATAAACTGTATGGATGTGATTACACGCAATACACAGAGCTTTTCCCTCACTATTGTTACGCGCTGCTTTTGCAAGGCTCCGTGAAAACCTTTCAGCTTTTATTTTCCTTTTTCGCCTGAAGAAGATATCACAGCTTCATCAAGTTCGTCGAAATGATCTTCGATCACTTTAGTCAGCTTTGAGAAACTCCTCTCAGCTAGCACATCTTTTCAAAGTGAAATTAGCCTTGTCACCTGACCTGAATACAGCGCGCTGATTCACTGAAATGGATTTATCGGCTTCTGTTCACAAACAAGGGCGCTTGTCGGCTTCTGCAGTAAAACGTGAACTCGCGATGCCTTGAAAGTGGACAAAACCGGCTTTTTTGACAAAACGTGTTTAGGGTTCAGAGCGCTCTATATGTGGAAAATAATGCACGGCAATCAGCTCATTCTTTTTTTAAGTGGCATTTATCGGTTTTTGCAAATGAACTTTCATTTCGGTGCATCCCTAAAACGTTCATTATTGAGAGGTGAAGCGCACCTTTGACCTTGACGTAGATGAAGTCGGGGCTGACGCAGAGGGCCAGGTTGCTGGGCAGGGTCCACGGCGTGGTGGTCCAGGCGAGGAAGCTCACCGTCTCGTCCTCCAGCAGAGGGAAGGTCACGATCACAGACGGGTCCTGCACGTCCTGAGGAGGTCAGAGGTCAGAGGTCAGAGCCGAGGCGCCGCTGAGGAGCACAGGAGCTCAGGAACCCAATCACCTTGTAGTTCTGATGGGCCTCGAAGTTGGAGAGCGGCGTGTTGCAGGCGGTGGAGAACGGCATGACCTTCACCCCTCTGTAGACCAGACCCTTCTCATACAGCTGCTTAAACACCCACCTGAAACACAGCACAGCACCCAGCATGCACCGCTGCACTCCAATCCTGCATACGGCTGTCAAAATGGCTGAAAAACTACATTCGAATTTTGTACTTAAATATTATCAATATTCGAATTTAAAAAGGCGCTTTTTACAATGCAGATTGTGTTTCAAGGAAGCTTTACAGTATTAAACAGGAAAACAGTGTGTCGAAATAATGTGCTGTTCTCCTCTGGCCAGACGAAACCAGCCGTTTAATTCTGGCCTGCAATTTACATGTTTAAAATGTATTTTATATACATTTATATACAAATAAAATGTATTATGTAAAATTGATTATGCAATAATACTGGGCCATTTCAAAGGTTTACATAACTTTGTTCTCTTTTGTACACTGTAAAAAATAGTTTTACAGTATATTCCAGGTTAATAATTGCATGACTTGCATGATATCTAACTGCTATCTCTATGATATCTAATCTTGTAAACAAACAGCATCATACTGTGTTTCTACTGTACAGTGCATATGTACTATGAAGGCACCCAGCATGCAATGCAGCATGAATAGATCATGCTTCTAGTGGGTTTTATTTGTGCTACTGAACTTGCTTTTGGTTCACTCTCAGCAGTGTGTGTTGTTTGTTATGTACCCCTTTAATACAAAGGACCGAAAACCAATCACAAAGAGTGCTTTCTTTATTTAAAAGCATGCGATGCAGTGGGATGCGAAAAACCGCTATAAAGTCTCGAGACGTGTTTTTTAAAAGTTGAACTTGCATTAATTTTGCATGGCTTTCTAAACATGCGGCTCTATTGTGCGAGACGTGAGTGTAACAGTGATAGATGTCCCTATAGAAAATGCGTTCTGTGTGAACGGCTTGGTCTCAGTTTTGACATAAACAAGATGATCTCCGCATTGATGCTCTCTTTTCCCGCAATATTTTGAATGAACAACAGCGTAGCAGCGCCGAATCCAGTGGCTTCAACTGGAAAGGCTAAGAAAAGCATTAAAATGCAGCGACACCAACATAGTCATCGCATCTCGTGCGCCGCTGATAAAGCTGCCTGATGCACACCTACAATTCAAATGCAACTTTTTTTGGATTTTTATTTTAAATTCGACGAATATTCAAAACTCTATTTTTTTTTGGACAGCCCTAATCCTGATTCAGTCTCAGTTCATTAGGATCTACAGGAATCAGGTGCAGTCAATCTTTCTCAAGGAAACAAATCTCACAACTAATGCTGTAATAAACTCAACAGCACACCCTGTTAGCCGGTACATAATATTGAAATATGTAAATAACATGCAAACTAAATATTTAAATTGCACATAAGGCGGCTTTTATAATAATAAAAATTCATAACTTTTTAATTAACTATGTATTATTATGTACTATGTATGTATGTATTTGTCAAGTCAAGTCACTTTTAGTAAGGGCTCAGTTACAGTCAGATGCTCTCTGAAGCCAAAATTGTTTCAAATCACATTATATTCAAGTCAAGTCAAGTCACCATTATATAGCGCTTTTTACAATGCAGATTGTGTTTCAAGGAAGCTTTACAGTATTAAACAGGAAAACAGTGTGTCGAAATAATGTGCTGTTCTCCTCTGGCCAGACGAAACCAGCCGTTTAATTCTGGCCTGCAATTTACATGTTTAAAATGTATTTTATATACATTTATATACAAATAAAATGTATTATGTAAAATTGATTATGCAATAATACTGGGCCATTTCAAAGGTTTACATAACTTTGTTCTCTTTTGTACACTGTAAAAAATAGTTTTACAGTATATTCCAGGTTAATAATTGCATGACTTGCATGATATCTAACTGCTATCTCTATGATATCTAATCTTGTAAACAAACAGCATCATACTGTGTTTCTACTGTACAGTGCATATGTACTATGAAGGCACCCAGCATGCAATGCAGCATGAATAGATCATGCTTCTAGTGGGTTTTATTTGTGCTACTGAACTTGCTTTTGGTTCACTCTCAGCAGTGTGTGTTGTTTGTTATGTTGGTAAACTCCTGGTGATTCTTACAGTGCATTTATAGTGACGCAATATTATTCTGGTAAAGAGTTTTCGGGTCAGGAAGGATTTACAAAATGACTGTTGGATTGTGAACTCAGAGATTCACTGAATTATGAAGCGAGCTCGGTGTTTGTCAGAAAAGTGCAGGTAATTCAGCTGGACATTTTACAGGAGCGACAGGAGCACAGCGCTGTAAAATCACTGACTAGCCTCTGTAGAAGATGAAATCCGCTCACGTCCACAAGAGAAAGCACTTAGTCTGAACAGGGCTATAGCTGCATGTGATCTCACCACACGGTCTCCATGAACCACGGGTACAGCGTCTTATAGTCGTTCCTGAAGTCAATCCAGCGGCCCATTCGTCTCACCGACGTCTGGTGTGCACAGAGTCACAATCATCAATCACATCAATCATAATAACACTCATCTAAACCCAACTGCAGCACTTAAGCCAGACACACAATGTTGAAAAAACAGGTCTCTATAAATGAACATCCTGTCACATGACTCATGTGCTATATGAGTTCCCTAAAGTACATCTCTCTGATCAAATAAGCTGCAGGATTAAAATCACGACACTCGAGGACTAGTGACATCGAAGTTACCAATGGAGAAATTAACTAGCTGTTTTCTGAAATCTGTTTTTCAATCCATGAGAGGTTTATTCTGTCTATTGATGTGTAAAGGCTCATTAACACCAAGAGCAATAACTATAAAGATAATGATAACTATATCAGCGTCCACACCAGCAGATGATGATATTCAGTTTATTATAGGCACTCAGCAGTTTTGTCGTCTGCTGCTTTAAAAGCTCTTTAAAGCAGGATGGTTTCTGATTGGCTGTTTTTATCGTTCATCAGCTGGAAAAAAAAATCCCCTTGACAGTGATTCCAACAATATCATTCCTCTGTATCGCTGTTGTTACTGTTGAGGTGCAGACTTGCCTATTATTTTACAGTTAGAACAATTATTAATAGTGCTGGGCAACGATTAATTGCATCCAAAATAAAAGTTTTTGTTTATATAATATGTGTTCTGTGTATATTTATTATGTATATATAAATGCACACACATACAGTATATATTTGTAAATAGTTACATGTATATACATTTATATTCTTATATTTTATATAAATATATTTAATATATAAACATAACAATTTTTTCTTAAATATATACATGCGTGTATATTTATATATACATAAATATACACACACATATATTATGTACACAAAAACTTATTTTGGATGTGATTAATCGTTGCCCAGCACTAATTATTAAATAAGGTGTACAGTAACAGCTCTCTCTCGGACTGAATGAGTCTCATCAGAGTCTCTATCATGATGACCAATCAGTCTTGTGTGTTTATAGTTCACTGCCATAGAAAGTGCTGTAGTGTAATTGCACTTTTTTTTAAATGAGAGAGGATTTTTTTCTGTCGTACATGACTAATGTTGTTATTAGAGCATCTCTTGTATTGAAAAAGACACTCATTTTTAGCTGTACTAATTGAATGTTACTCAGGCCCTATTAACTGACTCTCTCTCTCTCTCACACACACACACACACACACACACACACACGTACCTCCCACTCGTTAGCGTATCTCATGACGATGCTCCTGCACTGCTTGTTGTACTCCGCTATGCCCATCTTAGCCACATCCTCCGGTCCTCTGATATTCAGCGCTTTATCGATCTCATATTCCTGAAGAACAACAACATGTTCTTTATGAGAAAACATGTAAGCTTGTCTAAAAGCCTTTTTAGGGTTAAGGGTTGAAAAAGCGTTATTTCTTCCATCTTTATTTGACCCTCTTACTCTAGCACTCTATTCTAATTCTATTCTTAAAAAAAAAAAAACTTGCCCCTTTTAAACTTGCACTCCATTCATTTACTAACTGCTTGTTTTCTTTAAAAAAAACAGTAGATTTTCTAATCTTTTTGTATTGTTTTTCTTTTTATTTATTACACAATTAACAAAAAACAAAAAAGGCCTCTAACACTAGCTTGCTCTATTCTTTTTCTATTCTATCTGTTTTTTATCCCTTCCTCTTTCGCCGCTTCCACACATAAAAAATACAACTGCTAAACTGTGATTTATCATGCTTTTTTTGTTTACCACTAGCGCATGCTGATTACTTTTTATTCTTTTATAGTAACGTGCGTCGTATGATACGAGTCAATAGGTGTCATCATCGTACAGTCTACACATGTCGTAGCCAAGTTTATCAGATCCATGTCACACAGTGTGATATGCAGTGATCTTATAGCATTGCTAAAATCGTGCAGTGTGTTTTGGGCTTTATTTACTCTGCACACGTCTGCGGCGCGTTATGGCTCCGGCGAGGTTTTGTTCCGTCCTCCACGCGGTGCCAACTCACACCAGGAGCGTTTCAGAAGCGAAGCGACAGGATTCGCCAGACCACGTGATTTTTCTTGATTTTTTTTGTGTTCTAGCATGGTTGGCTAAATGTTCACATTTTGTCCGGTTTAATTCTGTTTATTCCACTCATACAACTCCTGCAATTAAACTCCACCCTTTTTGGAATTATCCTTGTAAAAAGGATTTGTGGTGTCATATAACAATGTGTGTTTTTTAACCTCTCGTCACCCATTTCTGGCATCTTAACAAGTATATAGTGATGTGAAATACATTTGGGAGTCTGCACAGGGTGTTTATTTTGAAATCGACATGATTTTTTACTTTTATTTTGTATTTGCTGTGCGGCTTGGACACGGTGTCCGTCAAAAATAGACTAGGCACCTATCTTTAGCGAAGCAGCGCGGAGAGCCGCTTCTGGGATGCTTCAGAAACGTGCTGCGGCACAAGCATTGACAAGAGTGGCCGCGTCGGAGGCGTAATGCGCCGCAGATGCGTGCTGTGTAAATAAGGGGTAAGGAGCTTTAATTCCGTAGGGGGCGCTGTTGGCCTATTTCTAATAAAATGAAAGCAAAATGCACAAATAATATTTAGGCTGTTTCTGAATAAATAAAGCAGTAATTGATGCCATAAAATCATGAGTATGTTTTGATTTAAAGGTCAGAAGCTATAGCTTACATGAACAAAAAAAAAAAATCACAAACATGACACTTAAATTAAATAATTGTATATATATTGATTTATTCATTAATGTGTAATATGTTATATATTTTAAACAAATTATGAGCTCTAAAAGATTTACAGAATTTTTACAACTCTTTTGCTTTAGACCATTTACAAATGTTAAATCATAAAATAAAACGTAAAAAAAAAGCTTTAAATAAAATAAAAATAAATAAATAAAATGTTAAGGTTACCACTGCATCTTTCTGAAAAAAATGCAGTGATTAATATATAGTTTATTTATAGTTATTTTCAAATCTTCAATGTACTGTCATTATAAAAGAACGCTATTATTGTTTATTTAATTCTAACAAATAAGTTCTTCTTAAAAACTAACCAAAATTAAAACTAATTATATATCGCTATCGGCCAAAATGAGTTGAAAATTACCGGCATATCGGATATCGGCAAAATCCAATATCGTGCATCCCTAAATGTAAATGTAATGTAAATAAAAGCTTATCCAGAATATTAATAATAACTATAAGAGTTTTTAACCCTCTGTGGTAATGCATTATGTTTCTAACCATGAAATATTTTTGCAAACAAGTTTTCATTACATGAAATAGCTTCAATCATACAAATCAAAAAGCAACGAAAATGGTGAAATAAGTAGTTTTTTGATATAATTATGATTTTCTTTTCTATTTAAATGCACGTTTCTTTTAGAAATTGATAGAGATTTATATAGTCAGAACTCATGCAAACCAAAAATAAAGTAGATCCCTATCATTTAACCTTCACTGAAGACTAACTCTTCCTCACTCTCTTCACATGGAAGAGCTAACTCTGCACTTGTCCTATTGGCCTTTACGTAAAATATTCTGAAAAGAAGAAATCATTTTGTTTTTTATACATAAATACAACTGTATACTACAATAAACAAGGGCTGCCACTAACGACTATTTTTATTTTGATTAATCTATCGACTAATTTGTCGATTCATCTGTCAATCTATACGATTAATTTCCCACAAAAAATCAACAATTTTACTTAAGAATATTTTATTAAACTAAATGAAATCCAAATTTTTATTAAATCCTTTTTTTAAAGCAAAAGTAAAGTGCAACATAAATGCAAGAAGCAAGTGTCCATCTCATAGTCCAAATCACTGAAATCAGAGTTCAGTATTATAATGTAAGAATGACAACGTCCACGTGCTATAGTCTACTAATAATACAATTATAATCAAAAAACACTTTTTAAAGGAGTATTTACCAGAAATGTTATTTACCAGAATTTATTTAGAAAACATTTTTTTTTTAATAAAATCAATTAATTGGAGATGCTTTTGATTATTAAAATTTAATGGAACCATTAAAATGGAATCCAGAAAATAATGGAAAACAGAATTTGGTAAAGAAAAAACTGTAAAACTCAATTAATTAGACAGGCTTTTTGATTAATAACATTTAATTTAACCATTAAAAATGGAAAAAAACTGAATTTGGAAATAAAACTGATTTCATAGGGCCCTATAATTATAATTAATTTTTTTGTGGTAATAAAAATAGAAGTGAGCAATAGCCTTTAAAATTACTTAAAATACATATATAATAGCAATGAGGCAATAATAATTAGTTCAAATAAAGTATCAAAAGCAAGAAATCATATGGTTTTATTGAACAAAACTGTTAAAATACATAATGTATTATAAACAATGAGCTAATGTACATTACGCATTACAACAAAGGCCTGCAGAGGGCGCCAACGGCCTGATGATTGTTTTTACACATTACGGTGTTTTATGGATTCTCGTCCGTGAAATGCGCCACTTCCGGTATTTTATAAATCGCGACAGCCCTACAATAAACACTTCAAATAAATAAATAACTGCAATCATATTATTGATGCTACTATCTATAAAACATCCCAATGGGGAAATACATTACTGCAATTCCACTGTTGATATTTTCTTATTTTACAGTAAAACTATGTTAGACAAAGCTAATTTAACAGCACGTCATTGTCTACCTTAACCCTAAAGGAGCGACGTATCCTGGGGATACAAACATTTGAGAAGCTGTGGGGAGAAGCAGGGAAAGTGTAGGTCTCATTTCTTGGTTTCATGTTGAAAGGGTGTTTGTTGTGAATATTTAGATATACTGACTTTGTTCATACATTCTTTGTTTAGCTCACGGACAGCATTTAAACCTGCTCTAATCTACTCACCCTCCGGTAAAGTTGATCTAGTTCACATATTTACACTCGCTGGAGTGGACTTACCTGTTTAAAAAGCTGTTGTTCAGCATTAGCTTATTAGGTTTACATTTAAATTTTATAAATTAAATGCTTACATTTTTTGTAATCTGTCTCTAAACGTTTGCATCTCAGGGGATACGTCGCACTTTTAAATCAAGATATAAAAACACATATATAGACTGTGATTTTGTGGCTTGTGTTTTAGAAAATCAAAAGCTTTTTGTAATCTTGACGAAACACATATCGTTGGAAAGGTCTGACAGTCAAGGTTCCATATTTGGTGACTGTTTTGTAATAGAAGTGATATTGTGACAGAAAATGATCAATTTGTGACAGAAAACTGCATCAAAGAAATTCAATAGAGTTTGGGTGTCACCCAGTGGTTATTTTTGGTATAGCGCCCAAACAAAATCTCACAGGAACCACAATTTTTGGTGATATCAACTTAAAATTTGGAACGTAACTTGGTTAGACATATGGCTTTGATTTTAAAGCAATTTTAAGTGCAACATATTTTTTTTTTTATAATTATTTTATATATGTATACTACATTACCTTTACTGTAAACTTCTATAACTTTTTATACTTTCTTTTTTTGAAATGCTTGGTAAAAAGAGACCAAGCTTAGGTCTGTATTCCAAAGCGTTCAGGAACTACAACAGTGTTGTAACAAGCATTGATAAACAAGTGTTCTGTTTTCAGTGAATTTATACCCCCAAAGGAGCGACATATCTTGGGGATGCAAACATTAAAAATCAAATATAAAAGTCAAGTTTTGAATAAAAGCATGAAATTGTATTATTTGAGTTCCAATAAGATGGAAAATAGCAATAAATTAATTTTCTGATGTCTCTTTATGGTTTTGCCCTTTTTAGGGTTAAGGTCTGCCCTATTCATTTCCATTGTGCAATATATTGTTTTTTTTTTTTTTTTTAGAATAACAAGGAAATGAGTAGAAATTAATTATTGCAATATAGCAACTTCGTACCATAGAGGGTTAAATAAGAGTAAAGTGAGACCTGGGTCGGTTCTTGCTCTGTTTTAGACACTCCTGGAAACAGTCCTTGTCCAGCCATAGCTGCAGGATTCGCTCCTCCTCCGAGGGGAAGTGGATAGACTCTGGCACCACCTCCACCATTCTGAGCACTACACACACACACACACACACACACACACAGACACACAGAGAGAGAGAGAGAGAGAGACACACACACTCACAGAGAGACAGACAAACACACACACACACACACACACACACACAGACAGAC